AGTAGGACGTTTACCATTAGATCCCTTTTCAGTCGACTTATAGCTGTTAAGCCAAGGAGACGACTTTGATCGATCAAAGTAGTGGTTGGGGGATTTGTACAAGCTGCTTATTTGTTTGCGAAGTTCAAAATTTTCTTCTTGAAGTAAGTTGTTCTCCATCAGTTATTCTTTAAGCTGAATATCCCAGTCTTTCTTTTCATTTCTCAACTTGTTATATTCTTCAAGTTGGATCTCCCAATCTTTCTTCTCATGTATCAACTTGTTATATTCTTCAAGTTGGACTCCCAATTCTTCTTCTCCTTCCTCAACTTATTATATTCATTTAAAACTTTCTCAAGGTCATTGAGAACCAATTCGATATTATCCTGCAATTCATCACATTTATCGTAATACGTAATAGGATTGGGACATACCTTGTTAATTTCTCCCATTGCCATGAAACATTGATTCTTCATTCTTTCGTGATTGTTTTATTCTTCAGACTCATCCTCGTCGCTCCAAGATTTGTGATTCTTTTTCTTGAGATCACAATCCATAGCATTAAAGCACACCTCGTCAGTTTCTCCTCTTTTCTTGAGACATATGTTTGTCATTTCTTCTTGATCATCCTCGTCGCTCCAAGTTGAGATTCTATGATTTTTCTTCTTGAGGCTGGGACATTTTAATTTCATATGTCCAGGTTTACCATATTTGTAGCAGCATATGTTCTCTTTTTGTTGAACTTCATTCTTGCGATTCTTTTGATGATTCTGGATGGATTGAGATTTTCTATTTTGCTTCTTCCTACTCTTCCTTTTTCTCGTCCTGGGTATCACGACCAAGTCTTCTCGATCTTCACTATTTTCGGATTCTTCAAGAGTTGACGTGGATTCAATTTCCTTAACTTTGTTGGTGTCCCCTTGGATATTTTCCAATCTGTCCCATATATCTTTAGCAGTCTCACAGGTGAATATTTTCTTAAATTCTTCTTCACTAATCGCACAATAGAGCATGTTAATTGCTCTAGCGTTTGCTGCAAAATATCCAACTATTCTTTTGTGTAATCAAATATGGATGCCCTTTTTACAAGCTTCTTTCCATCACTAATGTTCGGGATAGGCCTTGGTCCATTCTGAATAACTAGCCAGGCTCGATAGTCTATTGATTGAACATAAACCTTCATTCTTTCTTTCAAATGGCTATAGTATTGACTATTGAAGTACGGTGGCCTTCTTGTTGAGTATCCCTCTTGAAGTACGGTTCCAGTAATTTGATGACTTGCCATGGATATTTTCTCACTTGCTTTTAAGCAAAAAAATAAAGATGTGAGACTTGCTCTGATACCAATTGAAAGTACAAGAAGGGGGTGAATTGTAGCATTTTTAAATTTCTAGTCGACTACTCTTCAGACCTAGTCGACTTATGCGGAGACAGCCTGCACCAAAACTATTAGTACTTCAATTTAAATAGATGCTACACACAACAAACAGTAAGGTGTATAATACAATATGAGAGCAGTAAAATAAATGACACCGGAAATTTTATACTGGTTCGGAACCAATGTGGTATCCTAATCCAGTCTCCTTGGGTTGCAAGGATGTTATCTCTTGAGCTCTTTGTAATTTGGGTTAAGTACAGCTTGTGTGATTTTCAACGTTCACCACTAATATTTACAGGGTTGGTTTTCACTCACTCACCAACAACGAACAAGGGTTGATTTTTACTCGCTCACCAACAACGACCCTTTGGTTTTTACTCGGTCACCAAAGAAACGAATAATGGCACAACCTCTCGGACACACTGCCTCTCCAATATTTTGTTGTCTCTCTTCTCTCTTTTGTGTACACAATAAATCTAAAAGTGAATTACAATGCTTGTTAAGAGTAGAATAAAGAACTTGTAGTTGGGTAGACAATTGTATAGAAGGTTGCGTGCTTTTTATCTTCTATGAACTCTTATATATATATAGCCTTTGCAACTTGTTCTGGCTATTGCATAACCCAAAGGAATTTTCTGTCCAAAGCCTTTTCTTGACCGTGCTTTATGAAACTTTCCATCTTGAAAATATCTGCTTTCACAATTAGCCTTGAGAGTTGTCCAGATGACTTCTTGATTAGCTTTACTAATTAATCTTGACCATTCCTTGATTCTCTTGGACTTTGAGAATTATTTCCTTCCATATTTTGATACTCCAACAAACTCTTTAGTAGTGCATGAACTTGGCCATACTTTGTAGCCTTCTTTTGAACTTGGATAGTGTATGATTCTTCCTTAATAGTTGTGGCTTTCCAAGTATAGTCCAGTAAGTATCTTTCTTCACTCCTTAATCTGTGACATATGAGATTAGAATCTTTTTATCTCCTTCGCTCCTTAATTTGCGGTTCTTTCCGAAAGTTGATCACCGTTACCATCCTTGGCTTGTAGCCTCGTAATGAAGCTTTCCTTTTGAGAAGATTGGTACTACTCCTTTCCATAGTATCTTCTATGTACTTATATCACTTTATATTCATACCCTTGAATATAACTAAAGAGGGAATGTAGTAAGAATATCATTTAATCTACCTTCCAAACCATAGATCGAAGTATAGCCATACATATATTCTCTTTCTATAACTAAAGAGGGAATATAGTAAGAATATTTTTTCATAAATAATAGTAGCATCTTTGAACTCCTGAAAATATATTCTTTCCATAGAAAATATATTTTTCATTGGCCTTGTAGTATCTTTTTCATATAATAATTTCCTTCCACAAAATAATAGATCTTCTCCGTGATTTTAGCAACTTTCCTTTCAAGATATTGGAAAACTTTTCTTCCATAATTTTCGCAGATTCTTCTTCTGATATTGTAGTAAGCTATTCAATATTTGAAATTTGACTTTCAAATATTATTCCTTCTATGACTCTTGGAGATCAAATCTCTGAAAATAATCTTCCTTGATAATATTTCCGCTCATAAATTCTTCTCATGATATTCTCTTTCTTATATTTGTTTGGATCTTTATTAGCATTTTCTTTCTTGAATAAACTTATGCAAAAATAAAATTACCACAAGTAAATGTTCTTTGATTAATAATTATGTTAGTTTGTTATCATCAAAATTAATACGTGAAACCTAACAATTACCACTGGACCAAAGTCATATGAGATAATGGGGAAGTGTTTGTTACTTTCTTTTAAACAACACATTAGAATCGAGTGCAAGAATCAAAGAAGCAAGTTTAATGCTAGAGTTTTCAAACAACTTCATTTATTCTTTGTTCAAAATCTTTCAAGATCTTTTCAATTTTTGCAAAAGCGTGTTTATCTTAAATTCTTTCCAAGAAGTTTTTTGCAAAAAGTTCTTAATTAAAAAACAGTAAGTGGTCTTATGGTTTTCACCAATAGTTCTTCCATTCACAAAATCTCGCGAAAATAGCACTGGTTAGTCAGTAACCAGTACTGATTAATGAAAAATAGTCAGCATTTACAAAGTCATTGAAAAATAGTCACTATTTTGCTGAAACACGAAAAGTTCCGGCATAATATGGTGGATTATGGAGTTAATGCTAGCATATTATATTGGAACTCCAGTACACGGAAAGTTCATGCATACTATGCAGGATTATGGAGCTCCTGAGTAAAAACTTTCAGCATATTGTGTTGGAACTCCAGCACACGGAAAGTTCCAGCATAATATGTTAGATTATGGAGCTCCTCCGAATAAACTTCCAACATATTATGTTAAACTCCAGCACATTATGTTGGAATCTCATATGTAAAAAATTCGAACTCCAGCATATTATGCTGGATTTTCGGATTTTTAAGGGTGTTTTTGTTCAGAGTTTATCTTTACATAAAAAAAAAGTTGCTAAATTTTGATTACTTTTGAAATTGTAGCTATTTTTCAATTAGCAGTTGTAAATCTAGCTATTTCTTTTTTTTTCCCCCCCAAAATCTCACAATAAGTATTTCAAATTGTTTTCTCTCTCAGTCCCAATTAATGTAATACCTTTTTTTTTAGTTAGTCCTAAAAAGAATGACACATTTCTATATTTAATAACAATTCAACTTTAAATTTTTCTTTTTGCCCTTACCGAGAGAATTTCTAGCCACATAAATTTATATAGTTTATTTTAGATCGCAAGTTTCAAAAGTCATTATTTATTCCTTAAACTCCACGACGCATTCACATAAATTGAGACGGAGTAAGTTATTCCAACGGTAAAGTGAAATTTTTACATATCTTTTTCATAATTTAAGGTCATAAGCAGTTGGGGAAAGACATGGCAAAAGCATACTTGTATAATACGAACAAAAGGTTTTCTCAAATGATTTAACCAAACGCAATATTGTTTGTGAAGATTGACAAAGTAATGTTACTCTCTCCCAAATCCCAATACGAAAAGAAAAGAATGACGAAAAGTTTGAGGCATGAATTTGAAAACTCTCCAAATATAAATACCCAGTGAAATGAAAATGGCTACCAAAACATAAAGTTGAATGGCTAGCTTAGAATTTAAACACTAGAATATACGTCATCAACAAGTCGAGAAAGACGTAGTAAAAATTAGCTGAACTAGCACAGCAGAGTTGTAACGAATATAAATTCTCTAGTGCAGGTGCAGATGAGAATACATACTTCAAAAATTCCATTTCATTTCATATCCACCCTTTTGAGCTGCGCTATCTTAGCATCCTTCTCAAGGCAAAAATACAAAACCATTGAAATCCACTCAATTTTCAAACCCATTCTTCGTACACCACTTTATTAATTTAACTAGTAAATTGGATACAGCATTTTTTTAATTGGATAAGTAATATTGTAACTAATCTTCAAATGAGACGAGGGTAGTTATTTTTGAAGCTCAATGCGTGTTTTTCATAAATTGCTCGAAAAACAACAAAGTGTCTGAAGGGATATCCTTGTGAAGCTCCCAAAAACTGTGTTTCCTTCTGGCCGTCCCATAAAGAATCAAGATTCAGAGTACCCAGATAATTATTTCAATTTAGATTGAAATTCAGGCATACATTAATATCTTTTAAAATAAAGCTAGATGTATATGCACTAGACAGAATGACCATATCACAGTTTTGAAGAACAAATAATCAAGGAAACAACGTTCTCTTTTGTTCCTCCAATAAATGAGGCAGGAGTGACATTCTTAAACACAACATACAGGAAGCAAAATTATGGTTCCCAACAACAGTTTTTGGGAACAACACAGTATTGGCCTAGGAAAGAAAGCTAATTAGTTCTAGGAGCAGCCCATTCAACTCTAAGGATGAGATTGTCATAACCATAACCATTCAGCTTGTTTATGGCCCTCTCAGCATCTTCTCTGTTGACAAAGTTGACAAAACCAAATCCTCTGCTCATTCCAGTCTTTTGATCAATGGCAACATACACTCGGCTGACGTGACCAAAGGGACGGAACAGCTCCAACAAGTCAGCCTCCCGAGTGTCCTCAGAAAGGTTGGTGACCCTAACAGAGTTCTCTTCGTTCCTTCTTCTCATCTCAGTGCCACCACCACTTCCCCTCTCAGCACCACCGCCTCTCATGCTCGGAGGTACATAAGCACCCTTTTGAGGACCAGCTCCAGCAGCAGGAGCTTCCGCTGACGGTGGCTTATCCATGAAGGTGTCACTTGGCTGAGCAAGATCCTTGAATGGGCATTTTGATGTCCAATGATCACCCTTCTTCCCACAGGTCCTACACACCATAAGAACAGCCCCTGCTTTTCCAATTTGAGCCAAAGAGTCTCCTGCAGCTTTAGCTTCGTCTTGCTTGGAACCTGTTCAGAATTAGATAATCACAATAACAGAGTTAGGTAAACGTTAACTTCAGCTCAGGGCAAGGGATGTGTCTCCTTCAATACTCGCACACATATACAACATCTAACACCACAACCAAAAAGAAAAATAGCAAACTCAAAGGGAAAAGATCCATCCATTAAATGAAAACACATGAGGGTACAACTCACCAAACAGTTTTCCATGACTACAATGGTCACATATGCATCAATGCGAGTCAATAATGTGTACAACTCTCAGAAACGCAGGTGAGAGAACAATTCAACAAACAGTTTGTATGACTATACTGGTCACACATGCATCAATGCGAGTCAATATGCGTACAACTTTAATGTGTTCAACTCCCATTACAGGAGAAATAGTTTCAATAATACAATCTCTTTCCTTAACAAAGTTGCAACGTTCATTAAAATAGATACACGGGCAGCATTCCACAAGTGTATAATTTTCTGATTTCTCAAATAGGAGACCGGATATATAGCCGCAAAAGCCAATTTTTTCCTTAACAAAGGTGCAGTACCATCACCATAGCTGACACGAATCTTGGCGAATGCATACAATTAATTGCAACTACTTGGCTCACTACTTGGGTTGGGTAGCAAATAATAAATGATCTTGCATCAATACATGTGACATGCGACTGCATAACTACATATATTAAGCAGCACGAGAACCTGACTAAATATGTTTTTAGCAAATAATACTTAACTTAAATGGGATACCTGATATGCAGATGCAGAAAGAAAAAAAAACAATCCTTTTCCCTCAGATATTTCGCATACTAAGACTAAAGCCTGCATCATAAAAGATTGCATTCGACTAAAGAGAACAAATTCATCCAAATGATGGTCCTTATTTCAAACCAACTAACAACTTTTTAACACACCACCACCCCCCCCCCCCCCCAAAATAAAATCTAATTCTCCCTACACTATTAATCATTACTGCCTTTGAACAGCAACAAAACCCAAAAAGAACATCAACATAGCATGCTAATATATTAAATTCAAAAACACAAGCACAACAAGAAAATTTCCTTCTTTTCCTTTATCCATATACACAGAGATCTGACAGCATCTTTTATCACAACAAAATCACATCGACCAGATAATTACCCTGCTACAGTAGTCAAAAAATACCAACCAACTCACAACAAACCAGATAATAAGTCCAGAGGAGGATCTAGGATTAGAACAATATGAGTTGGAGTTCCGGATTCTACCACTCCCATTTGATTTACTGAGTTCAAAAACCATTGTTTGTATTTATTTAGTGGATTTTAGACACATATATACAGGGTCCAAGCCATAGCTACTTATGATCTACATCCGTATGCCCCTGATAATAACACAAATACAGCATAACCCCAGAAAAACAAAATTGCAACGGCCCAATTCACAATAAACGCAGAATCACAAATCACAACAGAAAGAAAAACCCAATTAAGATTAACCAAATACGAGAAGATAAGATCGATACCGGGGGCTCTAGGGCGCTCAAGAATAATTTCCTCAGTAGAAACCATGGTGAGACGAGCACCGACATCCTCATGAACTGCATCCCCAAACTTAGGCCAAGACCGCCTCTCAACAGCCCTTTTGCTCAGCCTAGCATTCGCGAGCTTACGGATACGTGTCGTAGTAGTGATTTTCACCTTGTTTCCTTCAGCGTTAAACTTGTATTCCACTACTTTCTTCACCCCATTCTCGTCTGGCCCGAATATTTGCTTCGGTGGTAAAAGGAAATCCAAGTCCTCCGCATCATCTTCTAGCTCCCCCCATCGGAGTTTTGGTTGGTTTGTCGCTTCCACCGCCATTGAACGATGAGCCGCTAAGGTCTAGAGAGAGAAAGAGACAACAATTGTTTTGGTATTAGGTTTTCTTTTATGTTTTCTTGAGACCAATTTTGGGATACATAAAAGAGGGTGTAGTGGCTGTGGGCTGGGCTTCAATTTTGCAGTGATGGATTTCTTTGTAGAAATATACCACCACTTAGCCACTTTTAGATGTGGTATTTAAAATATAGTCATTTTTTATAATGTTTTTAAAGCTTACTTAGACGGGGAAAAATTTAGACTGCTTATTATTTCAGATCACGAGTCTGAAGTTCAGCATAATAGTTCAAAACTTCAGATCTTTCAACGGGAATTTTCAAACTTTTATGACTCTAGCCGGAAGTCTGAAGTTTGATTTGACGTGGCTAAATTTTAAATACTTCATAAATTGTAGCTATTATATAAATAGCGATATATATATATGACAGAAAACACAAAATATTGTATTTAAACAACCGTTTGACATTCTAAAAGTCACAGCAACTCTTCGGTGAAGCTATCCAACTTTTGGCTAAAGAGCGTAGAGATTCTGATCGTGAATCTTGATGCCTCTTGCAAGTCCTCTCAGGATATTGGAGATGTAGAACTATCTCCTATACAATTGGGCGTATCTCTCAATTTATCATTATTTTACAATAAAATTTTGAATTGTCCCGATTGTGCTTGCAAGCACCAAAAAGGTTAGCGAAAATTTCATTATTCATTATTTTAGTTTCAACCTCTATAAGCAATATATAAATTTTTTTCCTTAGAGATCTCTAATTTTGGTTGTATAGATTATATAGAAGTCCATTGACATAGCAGATAGCACGTCGACAATGGAACTTCTTCGAAGTGAAAACAATTACATGTCTTATGTACATTTTTTTCAACTTTCTAAAATGTGAAATTGCTAATCTTGGAGATTGAATTCCATGTAAATTAGATGCCGAAGTTCTATGCTTCTATGGGCACAAATAAGATTAGTTCCACAAGCAAGCCTATGTACCTCAACTGTTCTTTTTTTCATGGTATCACAGATGTGTTGTTGTGATGAATTTAACATCTGATGATTCATACGTCTGTATAGAGAAAATATGTTGAATATATTTTACTATTATTCACGAGCCAAATAAGAAATAAGAGGCTAATCATGTTGTATTTATCTTTTCGAGTTATCCTTTAATTCTAGCATTTTATTTATCCTCATGACTATTCTAACCCTTTTAGATTATCAGAAGTAGGGAGATATTGGAATTTTGTAAATGGTAAGCTAAGGGAAAGTGATCAGGTTATTCACAATTTCTTTGCATATGTATGGATTTCATCTAAACGGAAAATAAAAAGTGAATACTTTCATGACAAACACTGTTAGAGATGCTATGCTGGAATATAAAGTAAAGACAATAACTTATATTATATATACTGAATATACATTTTAATATATTACCAAAAAAAGAATATACATTTTTGTAATAATCCTCATGGAATATATACTACAGTAAGCTCTTTTCATTAATTTCCTTATATGAAAATTAAAGGAGGGGAGATGATAAGGAAAAAGAAAAAACAAAAAGAAGACAAGAAAGTAATTTTAAAAAAAGAGTAAAAAGAGTATTTAATAAATAAATAAGTAACAGAAATTTTGACATCGAGATAACAAATTATTGTATAATTTCTACAACTTTTGTCTTTCCTATTATGTGTCTTCAAGGAAACAATGGGGGCTCGCTGCCCGTCCTTAGATGGATTAGCCATCAGTTCCTCCTTACTGGTTATGAAATTTTCATATTTATTTTCATTAAAATAAAATTCATGATCTTAAAGGTTACATTAATAATGATAGATATTAAAGAGGGCGGTAAATATTAAATAATTACAGCCAAAAAAAAAAGAATTAAACGCTCATTTAGGAGTTATAATATAAATAATATTAAGTGAAATAATTGTAATATATTTTATAGCAAACAATTGATTGAAAGGAAAAAAAATTTTGGACAAATTAAAAAGTGAGAAATTCAACCGCGCGAAGCGCGGATATATTTACTAGTTTCTTGTAATGACCCAACCGGTTATTTTGACTTTTAGAACTTTATTCCCCTAAATAAAACTCCCTATATGTGCTTTTGTTAATTTATGACTTGCGTGGATGGTTGGTTCGGGATTTGGGAGTGTTCGGGTTGAAATAGGAACACTTGGTTCCTTAAGTTGGCCTTAGAATGCTAAGTTTGACTTCAGTCAATATTTTAAAAAAATGATCCCGGAATCAGGATTTAACGGTTTCAATAGCTCCGTATGATGATTTTGGACTTAGGAGCGTATTCGAATTTTATTTGGAAGTCCGTAGTTAAATTAGGCTTGAAATGGCTAAAATAAAAATTTAAGTTTGGAAATTTGACCGGGGAGTTGAATTTTTGATATCGGGGTCGGAATCCAATTCCAAAAATTTTCATAACTCTGTTATGTCATTTATGACTTGTGTGCAAAATTTGAGGCCAATCGGACTTGATTTGATAGATTACGGTACCGAATGTAGAAGTTGGAAATCTTAAGTTTCATTAAGCTTGAATTGGAGGATGATTTGTGGTTTTAGCATTGTTTGGTGTGATTTGAGGGTTCGACTAAGTTCGTATGATGTTTTGGGACTTGTTGGTATATTTGGTTGAGGTCCCAAGGGGCTCGTATGAGTTTTGGACGGCTAACAGATCACTTTTGGCCTTTGGAAGACTGCTGATAGCTACTGGTATTTTTCTTCTGATTTCCTTATACGCGATCGCGTAAGTTTGTCTGCGATCGCGTGAATGGGGTTGCGATCGCGTGGGCAAGTCTGCGATCGCATAGGTTGGGCCAGTCTGTGCATCACGATCGCATGGCATTATTTGCGATCGCATAGGGGAAACTGGAGAGGAAGCTGGGCTACGATCGCGTGAAGAGGGATGCGATCGCGTAGAGTTGGAACCTTGTACATCGCGATCGCGTGGCATTGTTTACGATCGCGTAGAGTTAATTTTGGGCAGTGTTGAAATTGTTTTTCGCGATCGCGTGAGGAAGTTCGCGATCGCGTAGAAGAAATCACTGGGCAGAGAGTTTAAGTTCTGAAAATGGGACTTCGTCCCATTTTTTATTTTTACCGATTTGGAGCTCGGATTTAGGTGAATTTTGGGAGATTTTCAGAGAAAATAACGGGGTAAGTGTTCTTAACTCAATATTGGTTAAATTACCTGAATTCATCATTATTTTTATCATTTAATTGGTGAATTAAGTTGGAAAAGTATGAAAACCCTCTTGGATCGATTTGAGGATTTGAGGGCCGAATTGTGATTGGAATTTAGTAATTTTGGTATGGGTAGACTCGTGGTTGAATGGGCATTAATATTTCATAACTTTTCCCGGATTCTGAGACGCGGGCCCCACGGACGATTTTTGAATTAATTTCGAATTTTTATTGAAAAATATAGTATTTTCTTATGGAATTGATTCCTATAATTTTTAGTGATTATGTCGAATTATTTTGGCTAGATTCGAGCCAGACAGAGTTGGATAATCGTGGAAAAGGCCTTCTAGTAGATTAAATTAGAGCAAGTTGAGGTAAGTCTCTTGTCTAATCTTGTGAGCTAAGATCGACTTGAGGTCGGGGTACCATCAGTTGAAGATTCAGGATTCGGATGTTTCGAAGACTGCTTTCCGGACTAGATATGGTCATTATGAGTTTTTAGTGATGTCTTTCGGTTTAACTAACGCCCCGACAACGTTTATGGATTTGATGAACAGGGTATTCAGGCCATATATTGATTCGTTTGTCATTGTCTTCATTGATAACATTTTGATTTACTCGCGCAGTAAGGAGGAGCACGAGCAGCATATGAGAGTAGTGCTTCAGACATTGCGGGAACAAAAGCTATATGCTAAGTTCTCCAAATGTGAGTTCTGGCTAGAGTCTGTAGCATTTTTGGGGCATATTGTATCGGGCGAGGGCATTAAGATTGATCCCAAAAAGATTGAGGCAGTTCAGAATTGGCATCGTCCCACTTCGACGACTGAGATCAGGAGTTTCTTAGGTTTAGCAAGTTATTATCATCGGTTCGTGGAAGGTTTTTCATCTATTGCAGCACCTTTGACCAAATTAACCCAGAAAGGTGCTCCGTTTCGATGGTCTGATGATTGTGAGGTGAGCTTTCAGAAGCTCAAGGCAGTATTGACTACAACACCAGTGTTAGTGTTGCCTTCCGGTTCGGGAATGTATACAGTGTATTGTGACACTTCACGCGTTGGCTTGGGTTGTGTATTGATGCAGGAAGGGCGAGTTATTGCATATGCTTCCCGACAGCTGAAGTCCCATGAGAAGAATTATCCAGTGCATGATTTACAGTTATCTGCGATTGTTCACGCTCTAAAGATTTGGAGGCATTATCTTTATGGGTGTCTTGTGAAGTTTACACTGATTATCGCAGTTTGCAGCATTTGTTCAAGTAGAGAGACCTAAATTTGAGGCAACGCAGATGGATTGAGTTACTAAAAGATTATGATATTACTATCATGTATCATCCGGGCAAAGCAAATGTGGTTGCAGACGCTTTGAGTAGAAAGGCGGAGAGTATGGGTAGTTTGGCTTTCATTTCAGCGGAGGAGGAGCCATTAGCTTTGGATATTCAGTCCTTGGCCAATGTCGCACCTCTCTTTCTTGCGAAGTCGGGTTTCGACACGTGATAACTCTTTTAAAGGAAGGAGTTAAAAGAGAGAGTCGCCACCTAATGGGTTTGAGGTGCGTTAGGGCACCTATTTGCAAGCAACTCTGGTTTAACTAGTTTGCGTCACCAAAGATCGGGTAAGGGCTCAAATTACCTCGAGGAGAAGGTGTTAGGCATTCCTCGAGGTCCACAATTGTAGGTCCCGGCCGAACTTGAATTATATGAATTAGTCCAAAATAAAGAGAAAACACAAGAAGTTGAATTATTATCAGAAATCTACTAATAAACAAAATAATTGATTTTAAGACAAAGTGGGGGANGTCTTAGCTTAGGCTGCTCAGAAATGATAAAACTAGGTGACATATAAAACAAGTTGGACTT